AGGGGACCCTGTTCTACGGGGGATTCTGTTTGGTGGGCATCCTATGCTATGTGGATTCTGTTCTGTGAGGACCCTTTTCTAATGCTGATACTGCTCTATAGTGACCCTGTTCTGAGGGGACCCTTTTCTGAGTGAGATGCTGTTCTGAAGGGACCCTCTTCTGAGGGGACCATGTTCTGAGGGGACCCTGTTCTGTGGGGGATGCTATTCTATGGGGTCCCTGTTCTGAGGGGGACCCTTTTCTGAGGGGACCCTGTTTTGCAGGGGATACTGCTCTGTGGAGACCCTGTTCTGTGGGTTCTGTGGAGAATATCAAGGCAGATCAGGTGATGTATAGGATCATTATCATGCCATCAGGTCCAAAATGTGTCCTGAGCTTCCAGCAGCTGCCAGTCCCTACCGATGTGCAGCACAGCGTCCATGTGGCAGTCAGGCTCCCAGCCCTGCACTCTGTGGAGTCAGCATTTGAGGGCAGGGTGGCACTGGTGCTTGTTTGAGTGGACTCAAGCAGCCATGCAGCGAATGGGCATGGCATGATGAGTCTCTGCCTGACATGGTGTCTGGAAGGAGGGGCTCAGACCCAAGTGCTTGCGGGATAGCCAGCCTGGGAGAGCCAGGGGTTGGGGTCAGGAGCTTAGAAATCTGCACAGAGCAATAGGGTTGGTAGCTGCCAAGACCTATGCTGGATTCACTGAAGTTCTTCCTTGTTTTCAGTGTCATGCAGGTGTCTTTGACAGAAAGTGAATTTTGTCAGTCAATTTTGTTTGTCAATGATGATCTCTTCACGTACTTCATTCTTTTCTGACTTTATATTCTGAAAGCTGTAAGGGACTGTTGTCACCCCCACTGGAAAGGATAGAGCTGGAACAGTCAGGTGACTTCATGCTAACAAATCTTCCCAGGGCTAGAGCTGAGCACTGGGCAGTGCTGGGTGAGGGGTGTGGACCTTGTCATGGAGAAGCTTTGTGGCCAGGAAGTAAGAGGGAGTCATGATAGAAACAAGGCAGAAGGTGGCCGGGCATGGTGGGTCACGCCTATAATCCCAGCATTTTGGAAGGCCAAGGCGAGTAGATCATCTGATGTCAGGAGTGGGAGAATAGCCTGGCCAACATGGTGAAACCCTGTCTCTACTAAAAATGCAAAAAATTAGCCAGGTGTTGTGGTGGGCATCTGTAGTCCCAGCTACTTGGGAGGCTGAGGCACAAGAATTGCTTGAACTTGAGAGGTGGAGGTTTCAGTGAGCCAAGATCGTGCCACTGCACTCCAGCCTGGGAGACAGACCCTGTCTCAAAAAATAATTAATTAATTAATTAATTAATTAATTAAAAGAAGGGGGAAGGTGGTCCCCATGAGTGATTCCAGCAAGGAGGATGCAGACCCTGTGCTCCAGGCATCATCAGAGGTGGGAGCAGGCTCAGCTACGCTACGCCACCACTCTCAGCATGGCCTCAGAGCTGGGCAGACTACTCTTGGTATAACTTTGTGTTTTAAGTTTCCTGTCCAGATTATAAACTTTCTCTTACCTTTGCTTGAACTATAAGATTAGCATCTGTTCCTGGTTAACAGAGAAAATTACAATTGCTTTGAAGGTGCAAATCATTTAACCTTTAAAGTACAATAAATCATTTTCCTTTAAGAGCAAATACTGCCTTACCCATAACATTAAATCATTATTTACAAAGCCTATCCTTTTTGCCAAACCAGAATATGGGCTGGCCAACAGTTTGGGTTGAACAACCTGAAGGCCTCAGGGGTATCTGCCGGAGTAGGCACCTGGTGGCTGCACATAGTAGGCAGCAGTCCTATAAGTCCTATAAGGCAGGGATCCCCAGCACCCCTGGCCATGGACTAGTACCAGTCCAGTCCATAGCCTATTAGGAACCAGGCCACACACGAGGAAGTGAGTTACCAGCAAGTGAAGCTTCTCTTTATTTACAGCCACTCCCCATTGCTTGCATTACCACCTGAGCTCCTCCTCCTGTCAGATCAGCAACATTAGATTCTCATGGGAGCACAAACCCTATTGTGAACTGCGCGTTTGGGAGATCTAGTTTGTGTGCTCCTTATGAGAATCTAACAAATGCCTGATGATCTGAGGTGGAACAGTTTCATCCCCAAACCATTCCCACCACCCCTGGTCTGTGGAAAAATAGTCTTCCATGAAACCCATCCCTGGTACCAAAAAGGTTAGGGACCACTGCTATAAGGAGTCAAGTAGGATGTACCTCTAATTAGAACTGCCTTTTAGAATGCTGGTTTCTGTCACAAGGTGGTGGGTAGAGGGTGCTGTGCACACCACTGCCTGTACACCTATACTGAGGGATCTCTCCACACAGATGCCCTGAAGGCCGTCACAGAGGTGACTACCACACTACAGCACATTCTCATCCGGCTGGAGAACCTGCAGAAGCTGACAGAGCTGCAGCGGGACCTGGTGGGCGTAGAGAACCTCATTGCTCCTGGCAGGGTGAGTCACCTGACTCTGGGAATGTTTTTTGAGCTACTTTGTTTTTTTAATTGAGATATAATTTACATACCACAAAAGTCACCCTTTTAAAACGTATAATTTTGGCCAGGCACAGTGGCTCATACCTGTAATCCCAACACTGGGAGGCTGAGGTGGGAGGATTGCTTGAGCCCAGGAGTTCAAGACCAGACTGAGCAACATGGGGAAACCCTGTTTCTATGAGAATTAAAAAAAAAAAAAAAAGAATTGCTGGGTGTGGTGGCACACACCTGTGGTCCTAGCTACTCAGGAGACTGAGATGGGAGGATTGCTTGAGCCAAGGAGGTCGAGGCTGGAGTAAGCCCTGATCACACCACTGCACTCCAGCCTGACAACAGAGCAAGACCCTGTCTACGTTAAAAATAGGTAAATACGGCCAGGCGCAGTGGCTCACACCTATAATCCCAGCACTTTGGGAGGCCAAGGCAGGCGGATCACCTGAGGTTGGGAGTTCGAGACCAGCCTGACCAACATGGAGAAACCCTGTCTCTAAGAAAAATACAAAAAATTAGCAGGGCGTGGTGGCGCATGCCTGTAATCCCAGCTACTCAGGAGGCTGAGGTAGGAGAATCGCTTGAACCCAGGAGGTGGAAGTTGCAGTGAGCCAAGATCACACCATTGCACTCTAGCCTGGGTAACAAGAGCGAAACTCTGTCTCAAAATAAAATAAAATAAAATACATACGTATATACATACATACACACATACATACATATAAAAAATGTATAATTGAGTGGGTTTTAGTATCTTCACAAGGTTATGCAGCCATCAATATCTAATTCAGAACATTTTCATCACCCCAAAGTGAAACCCCCACACCGATTAACAGTCACTTCCCATCACTATTTTGAAGGGGACCCTGTTCTCAGGGGACTCTGTTCTGAGGTAATCCTATCTGGGTGGGGATGCTGTTCTGTGGGACCTCGTTCTGCTCCCTAACCCCTGGCAACCACTGATCTACTCTCTGTCTCTAAGGAGTTAACCTGTCTGGGCATTTCATAGAAATGGTATCATACATTAATGTGGCCTCTTGTAACTGTCTTCTTTCACTCAGAATAATCTTTTCAAAGTTCATTCATGTTCCTTTTTTTTTTTTTTTTTTTAAATTTGAGACAGTCTCTCTCTGTCACCAGGCTGGGGTGCAGTGGCGCAATCTTGGCTCACTGCAACCTCCACCTCCCAGGTTCAAGTGATTCTCCTGCCTCAGCCTCCCAAGTAGCTGGGACTGCAGGCACATACCACTACGCCCAGCTAATTTTTGTGTTTTTAGTAGAGACAGGGTTTCACCATCTTGGCCAGGATGGTCTCAAGCTCTTGACCTTGTGATCCACCTTCCTTGGCCTCCCAAAGTGCTGGGATTACAGGCATGAGCCACCATGCCCAGCCTCATGTTCCTTTTTGTGGCTGAATCATATTCCATCATGCATGTATCACATGTCTCTCCACTCATCTGATGGACACTGGGTTATTTCCACTTCTTGGCTGTTATGAATAGTGCTGCTGTGAACATTCATGTACAAGTTTTGTGTGGACTTATGTTTTCAGTTTTGAGTATATACCATATGCAGGGTCATATGGTAATTCCATGTTTAACATTTTGAGGAGCTGCCAAACTGTTTTCCAAAGTGACTGAACCATTTTTCATTCCCACCAACTTGTATGAGACTTCTAGTTTCTCCACATCGTGTGTCACTTTTTGGTTCTAGCCATTTTAGTGAGTGTGTAATGCTGTCTTGTGTGGTTACAATTTGTATTTCCCTGCCGGGCGTGGTGGCTCAAGCCTGTAATCCCAGCACTTTGGGAGGCCAAGACGGGCGGATCACGAGGTCAGGAGATCGAGACCATCCTGGCTAACACGGTGAAACCCCGTCTCTACTAAAAAATACAAAAAAACTAGCCAGGCGAGGTGGCGGGCGCCTGTAGTCCCAGCTACTCGGGAGGCTGAGGCAGGAGAATGGCGTGAACCTGGGAGGCGGAGCTTGCAGTGAGCTGAGATCCGGCCACTGCACTCCAGCCTGGGCAACAGAGCGAGACTCCGTCTCAAAAAAAAAAAAAACAAAAAAACAAAAACCATTTGTATTTCCCTGATGGCTAATGACATTGAGCATCTTTTCATGTGCTTATTGGCCATTTGTAGGCCTTTTTTGGAGAAATGTCTGTTCAGATCCTTTGCCTACCTTTTATTTTATTCACAATTTGCTAGGAACTCTTAAAACCCAAAAGTAAAAGACAACTTGTTGAGTTTTAAGGGTTCTTTATATTCTGAATGCTATAGACCTTTATCAGACTATGATTTGCAAACATTTTCTCCCATTGTGTGGGTTGTCCTTTCACTTTCTTGATGGTGGCCTTCATTTACAACATGAAAGGTTTTAATTTATCTATTTTTTTCTTTAGTTGCTTGTGTGTTAGATGTTATATCTAAGAAACTATTGTCAGCCAAGTGTAGTGGTACACACCTGTAGTCCTAGCTACTCGGGAGGCTAAGGTAGGAGCATTGCTTGATGCTTTGCTCAAGCAAAGTTCAAGGTTGCAGTAAGCTATGATCCCACCACTGCACTTTAGCCTGGACAACAGAGTGAGACCCTGTCTCAGAAAAAAAGGAATTACTGCGAGTACTGCCACCTGCCCAGTGCAGCCTTGGGGCAGGGCTGGTGGGGTCGACCTGTGCTGCTGCAGTGCAGGACTCAGAGCACCCTGGCCCAGCACCCGGCAGCATGTCCAAATGGGTCTGGCTCAGCGTTGGCGGCACCTACTTCCTCACCACCCAGCAGATGCTGTGCCAGGACCTGAAATACTTCCTGTACTGCTTATACCAGGCTAACCCCGACAAGGATGAAACTGTTGCCTATTTAATGGTCAGAGACCCCACCTATTTCGGGCCTGTGCTGAGCTACCTGAGACATGGCATGCTGGTGATTAACAAAGATCTTGCGGAGGAAAGAGTGTTGGAGAAAGCAGAATTTTACAATATCACCTCATTAATAAAACTTGTAAAGGATAAAATTAGAGAACAAGAGAACAAAACATCACAGGTGCCCATGAAGCATGTGTACCACGTACTTCAGTGCCAGGAGGAGGAACTCACACAGATGGTGTCCACCATGTCCGACAGTCGGAAGTTTGAACAACTGGTTAGCATTGGCTCCTCTTACAACTATGGAAATGAAGATCAGTCCAAGTTCCTCTATGTGATGTCCAAGGAACTTCACAACACCCCATACAGTATGGCCAGTGAACCCAGCAAGAAGACCAAGATTTTGCAAGAACAAGGTTCAAGGATGTGAGGGACACAGTATGAAAAAATGATTTACTCTTTCCCAAGATGCAATGAACTACCATGCCCAGGAAGCTTGGCTGCGAGAAGGAACCTGCTTTTGATCATTTTTCTAGAGATCTGTGTGTGAATCCTTTTTTGCCTCTGAGGTGGGTGGTGAGAGACAGGTCCAGCTGTCCAAGGCCAGGTGTCCCCAAGGGGAGGAGCATGGCAGCCAGGTGGGTGCTGTCTCTTGAGGGGGGCTAGAGACTGAGACAGATGCTCCCAGTGAGCCCACTCAATCCCTGAAGATCATGTAAAGGACAGAGTTCTTGGTGCTACACAGTCTGTAAAAGCAGCCTGGGCTTCACTGGCAGGAAGTGGCCACAGCGTCATCGGCGTCCAGCAGGTCATGGCCTCTGGTCTGGCTGCCAGGCCCTAGACTCAGTCGGGAGCTCTGCCTCCCAGGTGGGATCGCTGGTTGCTCTCAGCCTCACAGAGCTCCTGACGAAGGCGGCTTCTGTGTCATCACTACTTCCTGGCACCGTTTCGAGGACAGGCCTCTTTCCGACACAGGCTATGATCCTGCCTGACTCAGTCCGGGACAGTCAAGGCTTTTCAATTTGTGTTTTCTAGGCAAGAGAACTTTATGCCCCTTTTCAGTGTGGATAGACTCCCCAGGGTTTATACTCTGGAAATGCCCACAAGGATTGCTGCGTTGAGACTGATGTGTTCAACCCGTTATCATGAGGTAGCAGTGTTGCCTTGTCCCCCACTCTGCCGGCTCATGGGGGAGCTGGTGCCTGTCAGTGCCATGTCACACCTGGCATAGAGGTTGGGCTGGAGGCCTGTCTGCTGGCTTCTGGAGCTGAAGGTCTGGGTCACGGTGAAAATTTGGGATGTTTATGGAGCATCACAAATGCCTTTCTCTCACCACTCTGTCATTTTCTTTGTATAACTGTGCAGCCTTTCTGGGATGTTTGGGACTTCAGTCGACCTTCATGGGCTCCACCCAACATGACATGGGAGCTGATGGGATTCTTTTAGAAACCACTGCCCACATCCTTTGAAAACAGACCTTTCTCAGCTGGTTGTGGGGACCTGTCAGAGTCTGGGGACCTGGAATGCAGGGCAGGCTCCAAGCTCTTTGTTTCTGGAACTCCAGCTTCCCAAGGAGCACTGTGCAGACTGACCACCAGCTGCCCATGTGCAGGTCAGAGGCTCTGACACTGTCTGGTTTCCAGTGCTTCTGGAGACTTCTTGCCTAGGCCTCATCTTCTTCTTTGCCAATAACCTGATTAACCAAGTTCTCGAGCATTAGGAATTAGCACCTCCTTTTTGTAAGGTCTCTTGTATGCTGTTAAATGTTTGGCTTAGACAATTTATAAAAGCCTTTCTAGAGGGCAGACTTAGCCATGGGATGACCCTGTCCTCCCTAGCAGAGCTCAGGAGGAAGGCAACCACTGTGGGCCCTCAGGGTGTACTCTCTAGGTAGCTGCTGGCCCCTTTAGCATTGTTTGATTTTTGACTTTGATATAATAGATAGGCTTGTGGGGTTTTTTTAATTTAAAGATATTAAGATTTAATTCACTAAAATCACTAAGATTTAATTCACTAAAATTTGGGTATAGTATTTTATCAGCTTACAGTTTAATGCCTAAGTTTCCCCTGAAAATAGCAAACAAAATTGTGTATTTATTAAAAAAAGAAATGAAAAAAAGAAAGAAAGCCTAACCCAGGGTATGAAGATTTACCCTTGTGTTTCTTTTCTTTTTTTTTTTTTTTTTTTTTGAGACAGAGTCTCGCTCTGTTACCCGGGCTGGAGTGCAGTGGCCAGATCTCAGCTCACTGCAAGCTCCGCCTCCCGGGTTCACGCCATTCTCCTGCCTCAGCCTCCCGAGTAGCTGGGACTACAGGCGCCCACCACCTCGCCCGGCTAGTTTTTGTATTTTTTAGTAGAGACGGGGTTTCACCGTGTTAGCCAGGATGGTCTCGATCTCCTGACCTCATGATCCGCCCGTCTCGGCCTCCCAAAGTGCTGGGATTACAGGCTTGAGCCACCGTGCCCGGCCGTTTCTTTTCTTCTAATAGTTTTATGTTTTACCTCTTTCATTTAGATCTTTGATCCATTTTGGGTTAGTTTTTGTGTGTACTGGAACATAGGAGTCCAACTTTATTATTTTGCATGTGGATGTCCAGTTTTCCTGGCACCATTTATTGAATTGTCTGTCTTTTAATCCTTGTAGAAGATCAGTGGGGGCTAGGCATAGTGGCTTAAGCCTGTATTCCTAGCACTTTGGGAGGCCATGGCAGAAGGATCACTTGAAGCCAGGAGATTGAGACTAGCCTGGGCAACATACTGATACCCTGTATCTACCAAAAAAAAAGAAAAAAAATTTGCCTGGCATGGTGGCACACACCTATGGTCCCAGCTTCCCCTGAGGCTGAGGCAGGTGGATCCCTTGAGCCTAGAAGGTCAAGGCTACAGTGAGCTGTGATCACACCACTGCACTCCAGCCTGGGTAACAGAGTGAGACCCTGTCTCAGAAACAAAAACAAATAAATCAATGAACTGTAAACATGGATTTATTTCTGGACTCTTGATTCTATCCCATGATCTATATGTCTATTGGGCCAGTTACTTTCTGTCACTAGTGCTTTTTGCTTTGAACTCAATACTCAACATAAAAAATTGTTTTAAAAATTATATGGAGATGTTTCCTGTCTCAGCACACACATGTGCATTGAAGCATGTATATGAATCATGTTCTGTGTTAGCTTTGTTAGAAGAAGGTATTGAAAATGTGGAACTGCAAGCTTGGAGAAATGAATTAGCCTGGAATACACAGGAAACTTTCCTTCCCCACTTCAGGAGTCTGGGCTTTGATCGGGTGCTAGGACCACCACTCTTTTGTTTCTCTCCTTGGCTGCATAGCGTTGAGCTGTTGCTGCTGGCTGGGAACTCCTGGAAGTAGGGCTCATGTTACATACCATTATTTCTCCTAGTAATCTCTGTGCAGGGTCTTATAGATGGTGGCCCAGGGAACTGTCACTGGGTCTTATAGATGGTGGCCCAGGGAACTGTCGCTGAAAAGACAATTGAGAGTAGCTACATAGGACAGTGGCAAAGGTGTAGGCTCTTGAGCCATGCATCAAACTCAGTCTCCCCACACTTCCTGTGTGTCCTGGGCAGGCTGCACCGCCTCTCTGAGGCAGGAGGTCTTGAGGATAAATAAGGAATCTATGTCGGCTGCTCAGCCCTGGGCCTTGCATGAAGTAGATGCTGTGCAAATTCAAATAATAATTTGTTATTATTAGTCAAAATCTCTAAAGTCATGTCTGTATAGCCCAGAGTTTCTTGTCTTCCTGAGTTAAATATGTGTGTCAGTCAGGAGACAGAAACCATGCCAGTTATTTGAGCAGAGGATGTAACAGCAAGGATTGTTAACCAGGTATAAAGTTGATGAGGTGCCAAAGGGTAAAAAGAACTGTGAAGTGTCAGGGAGGTGGCACAACTGTGAGCCACAGGTACTACCCTAGGGCTGGGGAACAAATTTGACAGCTTGGTCAAAGGCCCATCGCACTGAGCCTCACAACTGGCAGCGGGGCCAGTGCATGGTGGAGAAGGCGCCCCGTGGGTCTGGGACGTACATCCTGTGCGGGGGCTCTGGAGAGGGGGCTGCTGCTCAGCCAGTGCTGGGGTCTCTGAGTGTGATGCTGCTGCCTGTGGCTGGAAGGAACTGCCACTCCCAGGGCCAAGCAATTGCCAGCAGCTCACAGGGACCTCAGCGTGTGGTCTCCAGGGCTCCCTGTCATGCCCCTGTGGCCTCTCAGAGTAGGGCTGGGAGGCAGGTTTGGAGTGAGAGCCACAAGCTTAGTTACCAACCTCATCCAGTTACACAAATGCATCCATATGACCACCTTCCTCATTGTGTGGGGTGGACGTTTCTGTTTGGGCTGGTTTTTCATCCTACATGTCTGTGAGGATTATCTGTGTAGTGTGCTCCTCCTTGCACCTTCACGCAGTATGTTGGGGCTGCTCATACTAGCGGGCCCCTGACACATTCTCTGGACACCTGCTGCTCCTCCTGTTTGTCTGAAAGGAACAGACGGTGGAAGGGCTCCAGAGCAGTCCAGGTTAGGAATTCGAGGGGCTCCCAGGACTCTCGCTTACCCTATCTGCACAGGTGTCTGACGCTGGCAGGATTCTTTTTTCTTATTTAATGCCCTGTGGGGAGGGGCTAATTTGAATACCTAGGAGAACCCTCCTTTCCTCCTTCCATTCTCAAACCTGCTCCTGTCCAGTTTTTTCAAAGCGGATCTCAGACGACATCTTTGTGGCAGAACCCTCCAGCAGCTTCTCCTCAGCAAGAACAATACCCCGGGCTCTACCTCTTGGTTGTGTCAGGGCTCCAGGGCTCCTAGTCCAGGGCAGGTGCTCAGCAGATGATTTGAAGACTGAATTTGTTGGCACCAAGACAGGACCTAGTGATTATGGGCACTGCTGAGGGTAGAGGAGCCCCATTGGGAGGCCCCACTAGAGGACCCTCATTGGGAGGAGCCAGAGGAGCACAAGCGGCCACAAGGCTATTCCTGACCCTCAGCCCGGCTAGTGCACATCCGCCAGCTGCCCTCAGCCAGCTCAAAGGAGACTGTCTCTGTCTTTCAGGAGTTCATCCGTGAGGGCTGCCTTCACAAGCTCACCAAGAAGGGCCTGCAGCAGAGGATGTTCTTTCTGGTAGGTTTTCTCCCCACTCAAGCTGTGCTTCCCCCCCAAGAGGGATGGGCAGCAGTTCTGTTAGGGATACCACGTGCAGTGGCAGTCCCTTGGCCTCTGTGTAGTTTAGCACTTGGAGGCTTTGGTCCAGGTGGGTAGTGTTGAAGTCAGACGAGGCCAGGGGAAGGTCACAGAGTGGGAAGAAGCAGAAAACAGCTTCTCCACCCACCCCGGGGCCAGCCTCCCTCCTCATTCCAGGTTCTGAGCACCTGACTATGGGACAAACAGAAGCCAAAAGGTTGTAAAGTCCACATACATGTGGCTGCAAGAAGGTGCTACTGACTGCCCAATGTCCAGTCGGGACAGGCTCACTGTTGGCCCAGAAGCCCCTCCCAGCATGTCCTTGTTCCTACTAGTTAGTGGGTTCCAGCCTGAACCATGTGGATGAGGAGGTAACTGAGTCAGCACCAGCCAGAATTCCTTACTGC